CTAAAAAAATACGCATGATATCCAAGTCCTATTCATGATCCTTCATTGTCATAAGATATACAAAAGCGATGGCATATAATGGAAAACTAGGTCAGTTTTTAGAAAGTATTTAATGAAATACAACACGTTGTTAATACTGAATGTGATTAATTCCTTTGACTATAACAGTATATGTTTATCAAAAATATGTTGTTTCCCTCCTAAGCCTTGGGAATGTCTTTTGTAGCGCTCTAAGCACTTAAACGTTCGTTTACTACCTACATATGAATTAGCAGTGTCCATGTTCAATCTTAAACCTAAAGCATCGTCCCTCCAGATTCATGTTTATTTTCATAAACAAATGGAACTGTAGTTTAAAGTAGAATATTGTGAAGTGAACAAAGAAAGTAATTTGCACATTGCAAATGGTACTTGCAATCAACATTACAAAAAGAGGTTAAAATGCGCAAAAATAGCCCTGACTAAGTAAGTAGCAACAAATACTGTAAAATCAGTTATTAATCAAGTGAATCTTCACTCTGTTTCCTTTTTTCTTTTTATCTGCATTTTCGTCGTGTTTGATTTACTTAAATTATGTTGGCTCATGTGAAGGCACGTAGCTTTAAATCTGGTTTATATCTTTTTATAAGAAGTACACGTTCAAGAAGATCATAGTAACGAACGAAATGACACAAAAAGACAAAACTATAGCCTTATCTACGGTATAACTAAAACTTCCAAGTGTTAAATTTTGACACATAACTATCATTTAACATACCTTAATTTCAATGCATTTGTTTTCATTTAAGCGCGACTGACATTTACCTATGTAGAGTACAATCCTGGGAGAAGTTGTATAGATCTATAGAAAAATAACCAATCAGACATATATGCATGAAGGATAATCTAAGGCAACTTTCGATAGAGCTATAATATGATCCCATCACCAATTTTATATCAATCTAAAAGCTTGATAAGTGGCCTATGTAAGCGTGGATATTATATCACAGACAGTGACTGCAAGTATCATTGTCTCGCATTATTACCATATAAATTATTGTCTGTCATAAAATGAGCTCTGATCGATTACCTATATGTATTCCTAATTAATTTGCTTTTTATCATTTTTTAACAGGAACATCATGTATGTGTCATTTTTAAAAGGAATTGTCTTATATTGCCGGGTTCTTATTACTTAGTGTTCAATCTATTTTGCCAATTTAATAATATGATATATTAAAATATGGACAGTGTTTATAACATTATTGGACTTGTTATAACATATGTAAATCGTCACGAATGTCATGAATGTTTCTATATTTGTATTCTGCTAAAGCCGTTCCAAAGAGTAGGGAACGGTAGCTTGCTTTTACTACTACCGTCAATGAACCGGCTCAATGGAGTCTGACACATTTTACTTTTGGAGGTCTTAATGGATTTGTTGTTCTTTCTATTCTCTATAATTCTAAATAAAAAGTAACCCTTTGTGCCATTATTAAACCAAATGCATGACGAAAATTACTTTCGTTGTGATCCCCTGAGAAATGCTACATACCAAATATATAAGCTCTATGCCATATCGAACAACGCTAAAAAGTTACCTAAGCGCGGGACATATTTTAACTCTTTCATGATAAATATAACTTTGTAGTAGACTCTGAGATAAAGTTTCATTCTAAATATATGCCTTGTGAACTAAGTTTGCTTCGAGGCGGACCATTTTTGACACAAGGCTCATGACTCATATAACATTTGTAGGGGTCCACTATATTCAGGCCACATTTCTTAGATTTATGCAATCTTTTCACACATAAGGATATTAATTTGATGCCTTAAACTAAGTGACCGCATGGGACAACGGTCATGATTTGCAGAGGACTACAATGATACTAAATTTACAAAATGCCAAATATCTAAGGCAAATGAATTATATTTCTTTGAAGTCTACCAGATCATAATTTAGAACATGTAGTTTCGGAAGAGGAGATTTAAATGCGTTACCCTAAATAAACATTTGAATGATTAGTGAAAAAATTGAGTGTTTTAAATGGATGACGCCAGTTCTTTTTACTCTGGGAACGTCGGTTATATAACCTTTGTTATTGGCCACAATATTCTACAGGGAAAAATCCGTGGATATGACATTTTGTTACGAAGATTTTTAAATACATGTTTTAAGAAAATTAATATTTTTAACTTGTGTTATCTACATATGCGTTAGACTGTAACACTATGACCTTAGGATAATCTATGTGAACATCTTAATTGGGGTTAAGGTGATGCTGTTAATGTTTATTTTTGGAGAACAACAGACGACGCACGGCGGGCGTCATGCTAGCATGAAAACTCTTTGATAGGATGAGTTAACAAATTGTACTGCGAGCACGAGTTGTCCGAAATCACATGTATGTCTTATCAACGTTTTTGCGCGCCTTAAGCTGCTTTAAACTCCCCAGTGGTGAAACTACAACTGACCGTTCTAAGGCGATACCCTTCTGTGTTACATGTGTGTATTGTTACGTGTTTTGAATGTTTTGTGATGTAAATTTGTTAAATTGTCGTTAACGGTAAGTATTTTCTTTCGATCCCACCCTCTTTCGCCCAGACTTTCGCACCACTTATCCCTTTAATTCCCATTTGAACTCCTTTTCTTATATTTTTCTTATTGTTTCACTTATTGCGTTTCCATTTCCTCCTTTCTCTTCGCTTGTGTCCTCTTCATATTCTGACATTGTGCCTTCTTGGTGCCCTGCTGTTGTGGCTGGTGTGTGTCGGGGAATGCGACCTGTAAACTTTGCATTTGCCTAGTTGATCTTCATTGTCATTTTTTATAACACTTTCAATTTTCAAAAGACATTTATTTTTCTTTCAACAATTTATAGGAATATCATTATATATATAAAGATAAGTAAAGCATAAATAGATTGTCAGTCAGTCATTAAGTATTAAACAATATGATGTTTTTTTTCAAATTACCATAAAAATCTCACAAATGTTAAGTAAAATAAAATTCATATTAATACTGTAATAATTTTAGATTTCAGTGTAGATACTGATACATAAATTATTGTTATGATAGTTTTATAAATAAATTATCATATCATTTTAACAAAGTAAATATACAGTAACCAAACTTAACAAATTGATTAGGACCACAAAAAAACCTCTTTTAGTTAAATGATTTGAAGAATAAAGTCAAATTCGTTACATAAATAGCTATAATAATATGTGTTGTACTTATGATAAAAAAAAGACGTGAATTAAGAAAGATCTTGTCAAGGACACATAAAAACGGAAAATAATGTCACCTTATGATATAGACATATTGCTCCCGAGGAAATTCTTTAATTATAGAATTTCTTAATACATCAACTAATGTTTTGGGGTTGTCATGAAGTAATGCGTAGGAAAGTTCATTAGTCTATTAAAACACGTCCCTTCAAGAAAAATAAGAAACGATGTTTTCTATGAAAATTACCTTATCATTTTTATTAAAGATCACCACCTGCCCCAGTAAAATACATTTGATTATGTTACCATATGTATCTTATCAATGAAGCAAGGAATGAAAATACAGCAATTTATACACGTCATATTTTTATAGCTTTCGATTATACGAACATAATTTTCTGGTATGAAATATCTTTTGATTAATACTACATTATTTCAATTGCAATAAAAATAGAAGTGACAAAAGCTCGAAGAGTAATATTGAAGCTACACGATAAAATGATGAGAGAAACGCCGTTTTTTTGTATTCGTGGATAAGATGATGTGATTAAAGCGTTAGCATGCAATAGGATTTTTTTCATTAATTTGAAAAACAAGTACTGCTCATTTAACGTTAAATATGCAAATTCTGCACATTTGTGTTTAAATTGCTCGTCTAACTATTTTTGTTTTCAATATCAGCATTTTTTTATTTTCAAATCCAATACAAAAATATTCCAAACATATAAATTAAAATGTTTTTTAAGTGACAAGATGCACAAAATATAAGAATTGGAATTGTTTCCCTGAGATAAGCAGAATATTGAGAGCAAATATTACGTTAAAATTAAACATTTTTTCATAATCTTTCGGCAAAAATTTGTTACCTGTTACGTTTGTTTATGTTTAACGTATACAAAATGATAGTATAAGTCGGTTTGTCTTAAGTATTTTAACTGATTTTATAATGAATTAAAATCCTTCTGGGTACAACGGGCATTCCGTAGCCTCCAGTTTTATTTTCAACGCTCTTTGGTAACTAAAAAAAAATAAAAAACAATATTATGTGACATCACTTTCAATGAAATAAGACTGCTAATGATACAATTACACACACTGAATATATCAGTATTATATAATGATAATTAGGCATAGAAAATTATAAGGAAAAAGGCATACTCTGTATATACATAAAGATTTTATAAGTTAAGGCATAAGTAAAAAGTCATACTATATATATACCACGTTTTGTGGTGATAATAATGTGTAGTAAATTATAAGCTATCTTTGCCGTTCTTTATATTATATAATAATTTAGCTTAAGCAAATAATTTATCCAACTTCTAGAAGCATAGAGCAATGATTTGCTATTTTTTAAATTGAATACTTGTAGATAGGTATTAAATGGAACAAATTGACAGACCATGAGATGAAAGAGGTACTGAAAACGTTAAAATTTTGATGGAAAGAGATATTGAAAAAATACAGGTAAACATTTACAGTTTTTAGGTGTTCTGCAGGTTTCATATATCCAGCAAGGCTATCTCCTGCAGAGTCCCCATCAACAAGGTTGTTGAATGCATCAATCTGTTCTGATAGTTTTGCCTTCTCACCTATAAACGTGAAGATTGTACAAAGTTTAAACTAATATCATATCTACAAATGCGCATTCATAGAACCATTAATTAGTATGCCAAAAAAAGGCTATACATTTTCAAAAAAAAAACGTAATTATCCTTTCCGGCAATTATTTTCCAATGGAATAATTTGAAATTTAGTTGTCTAGTATATTCCCTGTTCAAGTCAAATGTTACAAACAATTCAATTAAATATGTTCTAACTCACTTGCAACCAGCTGTTTTACGATTGTGCATGATCTCTTAATGTAAGTAAAACGTCACGTGATACGTCACCAACTGTGATGTCATATATCTCGTCTTCCGTGATTGATCTGTCGTCGTCATCTTCAAATTCCTCAATGTTTTCTATGCTATCTATAGGAGACGATTCGTCCAAATCAGATGAGAACTGTCTAGCTTTAGATTTTAATCGGCGCTCTGCTGCAGTTGAATGATGATTCCTAATTAGTTCTTGCCTGTGAAATAAACAAACAGTTCATTGATCTAATTCTGAGAAAATGAGTGAGAGTTTATAATCACTTTAAACTTTAGTTGCGATAAGATATATGGCCCCGAGAGAAATTAACTTGAAACTGAGAACTCGCTATTTTTCTGGCATGTTTGCATTTTGTGTGAATAGGGCGTTGTTACTATCTTGATTCATTATTTATTTTGCAAATTATGTCTAGAATGAATGTGTAGCTTTTATACTGCATTATCAATCAGTATATATTTTACACAAAGTAATTTTGATATAGTTCTTAATTGTGATAATATTTATCAAAGTCTACCATTTAATGGACTGTTGTTCTTTACTGTCTATAAAAATGCTAAAATTAGCAAAATATTTCCTTTGTTTTTCAATTATAAAATGATATACGTTTAGATATGATTTTTCAACTATAAAATGATATACGTTTAGATATGATCGTTTTATCAATATTTCAAGTCAATCAGAAATATCATAGAATTTTGGCATCATAACGGGTGTTTTGTTGAAATTGTTCAACAAGTGTGAGAAAATATAATGGTTATAACCATAATGATAAAATGGAAAGTAAATGTTTGAAAATATATACTGACCTCTTCTTCTGAAAATCTGTCAGACGGGGCTCCAATGACTGAAAATATATTCAAAGCATTGATTCTTACACAGTGTAATCGTACAATTTCAAAATGGCTTAAGTGGAATTATCATTGTATTATTAAAAAGACATCGCTAATGAAAACACGGTTTGGGTGAGTCTGTTCATGAGGGATTATGGGAAAGTGCATCATCCCTTACGCCACCTAGCACTGGCTTAGGGAGTATTCAATTTTCAAAACTTAACGTGCTGGAATCAGTGATCCTGAAGAACACAACAATATAACAACAGTTAAGATTACATTGATGATGTTATAAAACATTCAATTTTAATATTTTGAAAATAAATACTGGCAATTGCTTGTATTTCCCGAACTTGAAAAAAATGTATCCAGACTGTTTCTTTTAAATCAGTTCATTTGTTATTCACATAATGGAAATCTAAACCCTCTTTTAACTGCAGACTGCACAACAATAACATTTTATTGTGGAATCAACATTACAATTGCAAAATACAATAACTGCCTCGCTTGTTCGATTTTATTATTGCAAGCATTCGATCTCATAACAAAATAAAGACAGATTTTGAAATGAGACATTTTTGCTTTTTTACATTCCTGATTTTTTTCATAACGACAAGCCATAAGATAATGTTCAAATTTTATTCAGCCGTTGATTTAAAAAAATGGTTTTTTCACTACACAGCATTCTTTACAGTTATATAATTTGAAAAGTAGAATATTGGCAAATACAATATTCTTCACTTTATTTCTAGTTGTTAGAACATTCATGGATTTTCATTATTATTACTTGGAAAAACTAATTATGTGTTTTTCAACAGCTAAAAACGTTCTTCTGAGTTTAATTGCGTCTTGTTTTAGACAAATCGGAATATTATGCAAAAATTTTGCTTTGTTACATTGAATTTCTTATTAATAATTACTCTGTTGAGACGTCAAACACTGTTAAATTCCATTTTATCATTTCTTTCTTTAGTAAACTTTCACATTTCAGGCTCAAACTTCTAAATTACCAAAACCAGCCCGATATAGAAATACATTCGATGATATACTGAATGAAATATATACAGCCATATTTCGATTTCAATGTGCATGAATAAAAATGATGATTCTCGATTTTTTTTATGAAATTATGCCCCCTTCGAACAAGAGGGGGTATATTGCTTTGCATTCGTCTGTCGGTCTGTCTGTCTGTCTGTCCGTCGGTCCGTAGACCAACTGATTTCCGAGTGATAACTAGAACGCTTAGGCCTAGGAGCTTCAAACTTGGTATGGTGATTGATTTTAAGGCCAATATCAAACTTCGTATATGCATCATACTTGACCAGTAGATGACCACTATTGAATTTGGTGACAAGGGGTCAAATGTCAAGGTCAAATTGACCTTGTAGGCAAAAACGGTTTCTGATCAATAACTTGACAAGCTTTTGGCTGTTAGCCCTCAAACCTTGTAGGTGCATTGGTCTAGATCATTAGATGACACCTATTGATTTTGGGGTCAGAGGGTCAAAGGTCGAGGTCGCATTGACCTTGTATGTCAAAACGGTTTTCTATCAATAACTGGACAACCCATGGACCCTTGACGTTCAAGCTTTACAGATGCATTGCTTTTTGTCAGATAATAACCTCAATGGATTTTTGGTATTTTAAGTTTCTTCTATTTGACCTTTTTCAACTTGGGTGGTTCCAGTATTCCTTCTTGAATACTGTCTAATCACCCTTAGGATATGCTGCTTTTTAAATTGTCTTTTGACGTCTTATCTGTGATATGCAGGCTTCATAGCCTCAGATCTCCTTTAAAAATTCAATTTTATTTAGTTCCGCCCATTGTTTTGAAACATCCGCAGATGTGTTCATATTGCGGTTATCATGGAACCTTCAATGTGACACGTAACGTGCCATTCCATGAGAAGCGGCATGTAGTCCCCAAGTAAAAAAAATGCGTGTGCCCTAAACGAGAAAACAATGGGCGGAACATAATAAAACGGAATTTTGAAAGGGGATCAGAAGTTATAAAGCCTGCATATCACAGATAAGACGTCAAAAGACAAATTTAAAAAGCAGGCCGCATATCCTAAGGGTGATTAAACAGTATTCAAGTGAGGAATACTGGAACCATCAAATGAGAAAATAGCCAAATAGAAAGAACTAAATTAACGCAAGCACAACAAGCCTACATGATTCATAAAATTTATGCTTATGTTATTTGGTAAGATTTGTGATAACTTTGTCATAAAATGGCTGCACACAACTTTTGCGGTCACAATTACCATGTGACTAGTCATGACCAGTAGATAACCCTTATTCTTTATTTGGTCACTAGGCTAAACGTTAGTCATAATAACCTGATCACAATACTAATTGGCTGCCGATAAGGGGAATACATGTTTTACAAACATATCTTGTTTTTCAAGGTATGCATATTCAGTGATGGTGTACATCTCTTTTTAGGTATGTTATTAAAGGAAAAACACAAAAACATTTAATTTAATTTTATTTTTACAAAGACCAGCGAGGGCACTTGAAACAGAAAGATATGCAAAAGAAAATTAAGACATAAATGATATTCTGAAAACCAAAATTTATGTGCCTTGAGTTGAAAGCGTTGCAGCGCTTTTCAATTTTGGGTTATTGTTCACGTTTCAAATAATTATTCTGGAAAAAAGGGAGTGTGCAAACGGTCTGAAATTGTGCACGCAAGTTAATCTCGAAAAATTCTTCCAGCCAAGTCCTCAATGAAGTCCCTTTACAAGTCCATTATGCATCAGAAATGTTTTTCATTTTTCAAATGCTTTTTTTTCAGTGTCCAGTTACGGTTTTCAAAAACTAGATTATTGATCAATTACCTGAACCATCCTCTGCTTCTATTGCTTTTTAGCAATTAGGAAAGCAAAATTGTGTTAGTAATTTGTATGGAAGTATAAATTTTACTTTGTTTACATTTTGTTACTATTATGAGAACTTATTTTATATAAAGCACTTCTTTCTTCATGCGACAAGCATGAACCTCTAAAACTATTATTTAAATTAATACACGTTATTACTGCCCTTTCTTAAGGAAGAAAACTTATTTGTGTCTGAAGCATAGTGTGTCTATGTAGCCCGGGTCTCCACGATTCCGGTGTACTTATTATTTAAAACATATTGATGATACAAACATGACTAACCTGTTGAAAAGAAAAAAAGATAGTCTTCATTAACATCTTATCATCTCATCTTATCAAATCCAAGAAAAAGAGACATTTTTTAGATATTTTCACCGATTATTAATGTAAACAATGGACAACCATTTTGTCTCTGACGTAATTGCAGGCTCCATGCTACCGGAGCAGATGTAAAGAAATGCCAAAGTATGGAAAGCCTCAACAGTTTTAACATAAATACAATGTCCAAGCATTTTGAAAGCAAAACTTGAAAATTTTAAACAGCAAGTGAGTAGAAAAGGTATGTTTCATACATTTCAATGTGTCATGTGAATACCACTCTTCCTTGTTGATCTACCCTTTCATATTTTAGTTCAAATAGCCTCGGGTAACTATTGTCTCAATTGAACGCCACTCTTCTTTGCTGATCTATCCTTCCATATTTTAGTTCAAAAAGCCTCTGGTAACTATTGTCTTAATTGAACGCCACTCTTCCTTGCTGATCTATCCTTTCATATTTTAGTTCAAATAGCCTCTGGTAACTATTGTCTTAATTGAACGCCACTCTTCCTTGTTGAAATGTTTTTTTCATATTTTAGTTCAAAATTAGCCTCTAGTAACTATAGTCTTAATCGAACGCCACTCTTCCTTATTGATCTATCATTATTCTTTTATTCTTTTATTTCTGGATAAAAATAGTTTTTTTTGTAACTTATCTGTTTTATGTGAACGTCGCTCTGCCTTGTTGAACTTTGTTACTCCTTATATTTGGCAATTTTCACTTATTTTTATTTTTGTTTAAATTGTTGTTTAATTTTCTTTTGTACATCTCCCTTTTATATATGTTAAAATTGAAACCATTTATTGTTTGTTGCTTCTTATTTTTAATTTAATTACACTTGAATGTGTCATTCCTTCATAGACGTACATTACTGCATGTTTTTAGATGAGTCCAATGACCACAGACATCACATTTACCCCAGTTGACAATAGATATGTAAAGGCTCTTTGCAAATAAATATGATAAACAAGATCAACAAGGAAAGGCGGCGTTCAATGAACGCAACCCCCATCAAGGTCAGGTTCCCACTTGTTACATACGCAACATTTTTCTTCTTCAGCAATTTCTGAATCAGAGTCGGATGCTGAGTCTTCAGACAAGAAAGGAATTGATCTACAAGCCTTGGACAATCCTGATGTAGATGTAGCCAAATTAGATTGCT